TGGACCACTTCACTTTGTTTCCCACCTCATCCTGCAGTCAGAACTTGCTGTCCTTGCAACTTTTTAGGGTGACCATAAATTAAAGAGGCCTCTGCTCCAGCACCCACGAGGGCCTGAACCATATGACAGGATCCATTTTTCCAGGGAATTCAAAGCTCCACCTGCGAACAGGGCTCGAAAAACACCCAGCCCAGCTCCACAGGACAAACTGCTCCCTGTCTGCCCAGTCCAGTCTAATCCCAGAGGCTCCCAGATCATGCAGTAGAACTACCCAGGAGATCAGAGACTGCAGTCCATCTCTTCCTAGCACAGGTTTGGGTGAGTTTGGCAAATAGACCAACTGAGGAATTACCCAATGTTTTCCCAGTTTAACCCCCGTCACACCAATCACCTTAACACTGCCAGCCCTTAATTCTTGTTCTATTGGGTTAAGGATTGAGGAAGTTGTACTGGGATACTCTCAGCAATGCCTGAATCCATTGCAGGGACCTTGCTTTGAGCTCCCCAGGGCCGGGCACCCCGAGGATCTCCCCGAATAATCCTTTCGGTGCGCGCTGGAGTCCTCGGGGTGCCCCAACCCGGGGGGCACCCACAGCACTGTCCCTACAGGGGGCCCAATTTGGTCCTAAACTGCAGGGGGATCTTGCCTGTGTCCCAGACTGGTCCGGGGATCTGAGGCCCTTCCCGAGAAAATCTCGGTGCCGGCGTGAAGGGCCAGAGATCCCTTGGAGCCACGGGAAAGCAGGCACAGAGTCCCTCCTGGGGGGCCAATTCTGCTGCCTCAACTCAGCTCTTCAAAGAAGCCTCTAAGACTCAGATGGTGAGTTTTAGAAGCCAGGCATTCCTTGCTTACAACACCCTGCCATGATCCCAGCCCGACGGGTGCCCTGGCAATCAGCCCCCAAAGGGCACACACAGGTATCTCCACTGCAGGTGATGGGAGGGGTCAGCATTACAGGAGTATTCCTTTTCCTTCCCTGCATTCCTGTTCCACATTCAGGACATTTTCCAACACTTATCACCATACACACCTACCCTTAGAAGGTTTCCAAGGGGCTTCACCGAGGGCCTTCCCAGGTCTGCTCTGTCTGGAGCCCTCAAAGTCCTCAGTGCCTGCCTGAGGAACCTCAACACAACTCACCTGCTTACACAGCAACTCGGTGCTGCTTGCCTGCTGCCTCACTTCCCTTCTTCCTTCTTTCTTCACCTCCCTTGCTTGGTCCCTTTCAATCCCTTGGCTCAGCTCTCTGCAGTTTCCAGGTTACATCCCACTGCAAAAAGGATCAGCTCTTGTTACATCTCAACACTCACAGAGTATTCCCCCTTTATTCTTGACAGTCAGCCATTAGGCCAGTGTCTCATTATTTAAAGCAGAGTTTGACTCCTCAGTGACAACAACAGCTACAGCCCTGAATCCTAACACAGGCTGAGACACAAACACGGATGGGAACTCTGAAGGATCCACTTTGTCCTGCTCACCCATCAAAAGGAGCTTTCTGAACTCAAGAATAACAGACCCAACATCCTTTTTCTGCAACTTCAGCTGCTATCAATGTGACCCACAAGACCTGCAAAGGCCCTTCCCACTTCACCTGCAGGGCTGGCAGTGCCACCACTGGACACGGACCCAGGGGCTGGGCAGGAACGGAGGGGCTGGGGCGTCCAATCCATCGGCCCAGGCGGCACCAGGAGTTCCTGCAGTTCCTGAGGGGAGAGCCTCAAGACAACAAAGGATTATGGAGATCATTTTAAAGTTCAATATGCATATTTCCTGGAATATGGGGAGTTTAACAAGGCCTACTGGTGCAACAAGGACACACTCAAGGCTATCTATTCAAAGGATCTACCAGCACTCAAAAGCTGTCACTGTCCTTCTTTCAGGGGCAACTCAGGAAACTCTCTTTGCCAAGAGCCTCCAGGAGGACTTCCAGCTTTTGGGGCTCCCTTTTAACCATTTTCCCCATCACTGTAGCTGGGACTATCACCTGCCCTACAGGGGGAACAGCCCACAAAGTTCACTTGCAGGGATGCCATTAACTCAAAGTCCCTTCTCAGGGGGGTCACTGCACACCTTGGCCTTTGTTTGCCCTCCCCACCAAAGATGATTCCAACAGTTCTGACACATCTGGCAGACCCAGAGCTCTCCTCAGGGAATGCTTCAGCTGCTTAAAGGCTGCCCTTGCTCCATCTAGCCAAGGCAGCAAATGCTTACAGGCTGTTGGAAAAGTTGGCAGAACAGTCTTACTGCACATCCAGAGGGAGCAATCCAGAGTCCAGCCCGTCCTACCATTCCCAGCAAGGCAGTTCATGGGCTGGCTGGGGCTCAGGAGGAGTCAGGGGGCTTCTTTGCTTCCTTCCTGCTTTCCAGATTTTCTCCTTCCAAAGCAAAGGTTTCTTGGCTTTCCTTGCTCAAGGAGATGCAGCAAAGGCCATCTTTGCAATCTAATACTGGAAACTCCTCGAGGTTGTCATTCAAGGTGCTTCTCTCAGGTCCTGCACTCATCAATCATCTTGGCCATTGGTTCCTTGGCAGGTTCTTGCATTCACGTTCTACAAGCAAACCAGGATGAGCAAATTCAGCTGTTACTGCAGCCAATCCAAGCTGGAATTCTGATTTTAAAGGATACTGGGTTGGCCTTACTAGGAGAGATCCCACACCAGGGGTAATACCTACAGGTTCCGCCCTCTTCCACTCTCCTGGAAGTCCACTGGCCCACACCACAGGAACAACTGCAGCTGCCACTTCAGTGGGGACCTTGCTGCTGACAGGAGTTATTCCCTGCACAACAAGAGCTGCTGCTTGGACACATTTAGTTTCAGCAATTACAGTTTCAACATCCCCAGTTTTCCATTTCATTTCTGCCTCAAGTTTTTCAGAAAGTCTCTTCCTAGCACAGGTTTGGGTGAGTTTGGCAAATAGACCAACTGAGCAATTACCCAATGTTTTCCCAGTTTAACCCCTGTCACACCAATCACCTGAACACTGCCAGTCCTTCATTCTCCCTCTGTTGGGTTAAGGACTGAGGAAGTTGGACCTGTGTCTGAGCAGGACAGGTGCAAACCAAATGCTGGGGACTGGAACACACACCTGGCACTCCTGCAGCTCTCACAGTCACATTCCAGAGAAAACAGCCAATTGGACCCTCCCTGCCCATTTCTTAATCCCAATCCCACACTTCTTTGGCACTTGGAGCACCACTTTTATCATCCAATTCCAGCCCATTAGAGAGCTCCATGTCTAGCAGGGACAGGGACCCCTGGGATACTCTCAGCAATGCCTGGATCCATGGCAGGGACCTTGCTTTGAGCTCCCCAGGGCTGGGCACCCCGAGGATCTCCCCGAATAATCCTTTCGGTGCGCGCTGGAGTCCTCGGGGTGCCCCAACCTGGGGGGCACCAACAGCACTGTCCCTCCGGGGGGCCCAAGTTGGTCCTAAACTGCAGGGGGATCTTGCCTGTGTCCCAGACTGGTCCGGGGATCTGAGGCCCTTCCCGAGAAAATCTCGGTGCCGGCGTGAAGGGCCAGAGATCCCTTGGAGCCACGGGAGAGCAGGCACAGAGTCCCTCCTGGGGGCCAATTCTGCTGCCTCAACTCAGCTCTTCGAAGAAGCCTCTAAGACTCAGCTGGTGAGTTTTAGAAGCCAGGCATTCCTTGCTTACAACACCTTGCCATGATCCCAGCCCGACGGGGGTCCTGGCAATCAGCCCCCAAAGGGCACACACAGGTATCTCCACTGCAGCTGATGGGAAAGGTCAGCATTACAGGAGGATTCATTTTCCTTCCCTGCATTCCTATTTCATATTCAGGACATTCTCCAACACTTATCACCATACACACCTACCCTTAGAAGGTTTCCAAGGGGCTTCACCGAGGGCCTTCCCAGGTCTGCTCTGTCTGGAGCCCTCAAAGTCCTCAGGGCCTGCCTTAGGAACCTCAAGACAACTCACCTGCTTACACAGCAGCTTGGTGCTGCTTGGCTGCTGCCTCACTTCCCTTCTTCCTTCTTTCTTCACCACCCTTGGTTGGTCCCTTTCAATCCCTTGGCTCAGCTCTGCGGAGTTTCCTCTCCAAAGACACAGGAAAACAAGTGCCAACACTTCAACAATCACTTTAGTTTTCAATTGATAAAGCAACAGTAAAGAAAAGCTTTTCAGACACTTGGGAAGAGTCCATCCCACTTTAACCAGTGTGTGGGACTCGTTCCCAGCCTCCTGAGGTTCATTTCCCACCTCACTGGGGCTGCAGTACACCTGGTTCTACACACACACACAGGGAGCTGCTGCTTCTTGAGTCCAGTCTCCTGGTTCCCCTTGCAACTCCTCCAGCTGTTTGCCCAGCTCTCCAGTGCCCATTCCTTTGCCCACTGCACTTGTTCACAGCCCCAGGGCTCCCAGGGCCACCCGGGGCTCTCCCCTGCCCTGACACTCAGGGCCCTTTCCCAGCCCCGACTCCATCCAGCACTGACACAGCTGCTGCACCTGCAAGTCTCCTGCTCCTGCCCTCCCTCTGCCTGCAAAACACTCCTGCCAGCTCCTGCACCCCACCTCTTACCTCCCAGGAAAACACAGCTGCATCCTCCTGGATCCTCCAGCTGGATGCTGCTGGCTCTGGGCAGCTCCCACCCTTCAGCAGGGGATGCCAAAGGCAGCTCTGGGGACTGTCCCGAGGGCAGGGACACCCACTGTGGCTCACACCAACACTCAGCCATCTCAGGCCTGGGCTCTTCTGCCTGCAGGGCAACAAACAGCCAAGCAGGGACACTGGGACACTCCAAGGAAACAGGGACAACACGCTCAGCAGCCTGGCACACCACAGCCCCCAAACCTGCCCAGGCTCCAGCTGCTGCACAGACCTGTGGCCACACAGGACCCAAACCCACCCCCAGCACAGACAACCCTGGGCAGGTCAAGCTGCTCATTCCCAAACACAACCAAACATCCAGTGCCACTGTCTGCCAGCCCCTGCTCCCAGCAACCAATCACCTTTCCCATTTCCTTCCTTTACAGCTCCTTGCATTCACATTCTACTATCAAACCATCAGCAGCAAATTTAGCTCTTACTAGAACCAATCCAGCTTGGCTTCCTAATTCTAGAGGATACTGGGTTTGCCTTACCAGGAGAGACTCTGGCTTAGGGGTAATTCTTACAGGTTCTGTCCTTGTCCATTTGCTGGAATTCCACTGGCCCACACGACAGGAACAACTGCAGCTGCCACTTCAGTCAGGACCTTGCTGCTGACAGGAGTTATTATCCCTCTGTAAACATCAAACTGCTTCAATACAAACAATCCAGTGGACACTACAACTCCTTGGCACTTTCAGTGGAACCAGTGCAAGTCAGTTCCTAAGTTACACAAGGTTTTCTTCTAAAGTTGTAATTAATTAAGACATCAAAAAAACAACAACTGTGAGATAAGAGATCCCCCCTATAGTTCTACTTTCAGGGAAAAAAACCCCAAACCCCCCTCCCCAGTACTACAATAGCTCAGGCTCCCAGAAAGGCCCAGGGGCTGGGCTGGGCTTTTGGCTGCCCTGGAGCACAGGCAGGAACACGATGTCACCACCCCACGGGCACAGCTGAGAACCCAAAGAGCAGCCACACCAGCAGCTCCTGCCAGCCCTGCTGGGCTGGGCCTTGGGGAGGAAGGGCACTGGCCTTTCTTCCTGCCTAGGAGCAAAGAGCCTCCTTGCTGAGCACTTCTCCTGCCAAGGCCATCAGCTCAGATGGGAAGTTCATCAAGGGCAACTTCCTGGAATGAGAAACATTCCTGTTCCCTGGACAATCTCTTTCCAACTGAACTCAGAAGTACACACAAAACTTCAGGTGTTACCTAAAATTTCTTACAAGAACCTCTGAGACTCAAGTGGTGAGTTTTAGAAGCCAGGCAATCTTTGATTCCTATGCTCTTGAATCATTCCAGCCCACCAGGGGCCCTGGCAATCAGATCCCAAAGGGCACACAGAGGTGTCCCCACTGCAGATGATGGGAGGGGTCAGCAATACAAGAGGATTCATTTTCCTTCCCTGCATTCCTGTTCCACATTCAGGGCATTTCCCAACACTTATCACCATACACACCTACCCTTAGAAGGTTTCCAAGGGGCTTCACCGAGGGCCTTCCCAGGTCTGCTCTGTCTGGAGCCCTCAAAGTCCTCAGGGCCTGCCTGAGGAACCTCAACACAACTCACCTGCTTACACAGCAACTTGGTGCTGCTTGCCTGCTGCCTCACTTCCCTTCTTCCTTCTTTCTTCACCTCCCTTGCTTGGTCCCTTTCAATTCCTTGGCTCAGCTCTGTGCACTTTCCAGGTTACATCCCACTGCAAAAAGGATCAGCTCTTGTTACATCTCAACACTCAGACAGCATTCCCCCTTTTTCCTGAAACTCGACCACTAGGCCAGTGTCTCCTTATTTAAAGCAGAGTTTGACTCCTCAGTGACAACAACAGCTACAGCCCTGAATCCTAACACAGGCTGAGACACAAACACGGATGGGAACTCTGAAGGATCCACTTTGTCCTGCTCACCAACCAAAAGGAGCTTTCTGAACTCAAGAAGAACAGACCCCAGGTCCTTTTTCTGCAATGTCAACTGCTATCAATGTGACCCACAAGACCTGGAAAGGCCCTTCCCACTTCACCTGCAGGGCTGGCAGTGCCACCACTGGACACGGACCCAGGGGCTGGGCAGGAACGGAGGGGCTGGGGCGTCCAATCCATCGGCCCAGGCGGCACCAGGAGTTCCTGCAGTTCCTGCAAGGAAGAGCCTCAAGACAACAAGGGATTAGGAAGATCATTTTAAACTTTAATAGGCATATCTCCTGGAATATGGGGAGTTTGACAAGGCCTACTGGTGCAATAAGGACACACTCAAGGCTATCTATTCAAAGGATCTACCAGCACTCAAAAGCTGTCACTGTCCTTCTTCCAGGGAGAACTCAGGAAACGCTGTTGGCCAAGAGCCTCCTGGAGGATTTCCAGCTTTTGGGGCTCCCTTTTAACCATTTTTCCCATCCCTGTAGCTGGGACTATCACCTGCCCTACAGGGGGAACAGCCCACAAAGTTCACTTGCAGGGATGCCATTAACTCAAAGTCCCTTCTCAGGGGGGTCACTGCACACCTTGGCCTTTGTTTGCCCTCCCCACCAAAGATGATTCCAACACTTCTGACACATCTGGCAGACCCAGAGCTCTCCTCAGGGAATGCTTCAGCTGCTTAAAGGCTGCCCTTGCACCATCTAGCCAAGGCAGCAAATGCTTACAGGCTGTTGGAAAAGTTGGCAGAACAGTCTTACCACACATCCAGAGGGAGCAATCCAGAGTCCAGCCCGTCCTACCATTCCCAGGAAGGCAGTTCATGGGCTGTCTGGGGCTCAGGGAGGAGTCAGGGGGCTTCTTTGCTTCCTTCCTGCTTTCCAGATTTTCTCCTTCCAAAGCAAAGGTTTCTTGGCTTTCCTTGCTCAAGGAGATGCAGCAAAGGCCATCTTTTCAATCCAATACTGGAAACTCCTCGAGGTTGTCATTCAAGGTGCTTCTCTCAGGTCCTGCACTCATCAATCACCTTGGTCATTGGTTTCTTGGCATATTCTTGCATTCACGTCCTACAAGCAAACCAGGATGAGCAAATTCAGCTGTTACTGCAACCAATCCAGTCTGGCATTCTGATTTTAAAGGATACTGGCTTTGCCTTATCAGGAGAGATCCCACATTAGGGGTAATACCTACAGGTTCTGCCCTCTTCCACTCTCCTGGAAGTCCACTGGCCCACACCACAGGAACAACTGCAGCTGCCACTTCAGTGGGGACCTTGCTGCTGACAGGAGTTATTCCCTGCACAACAAGAGCTGCTGCTTGGACACATTGAGTTTCAGCAATTACAGTTTCAATATCCCCAGTTTTCAATTTAATTTCTGCCTCAAGTTTTCCAGTCCATCTCTTCCTAGCAGAGGTTTGGGTGAGTTTGGCCAAGAGAGAAACTCAGGAATTCCCCAGTGTTTTCCCAGTTTAACCCCTGTCACACCAATCACCTTAACACTGCCAGCCCTTAATTCTCCCTCTATTGGGTTAAGGACTGAGGAAGTTGGACCTGTGTCTGAGCAGGACATGTTCAAACCAAATGCTGGGGACTGGAACACACACCTGGCACTCCTGCAGCTCTTACCATTACATTCAAGAGAAAAAAGCCAATTGGACCATCACTGCTCGTTTCTTAATCCCAATCACACACTTCTTTGGCACTTGGAGCACTACTTTTATCACCCAATTCCAGTCCATTAGAGAGCTCCATGTCTAGCAGGGACAGGGACCCCTGGGATACTCTCAGCAATGCCTGAATCCATTGCAGGGACCTTGCTTTGAGCTCCCCAGGGCCGGGCACCCCGAGGATCTCCCCGAAGAATCCTTTCGGTGCGCGCTGGAGTCCTCGGGGTGCCCCAACCCGGGGGGCACCCACAGCACTGTCCCTCCAGGGGGCCAATTTGGTCCCAAGGCTTCAATGGACAGCCCAAAAGGCATTTCAAGAGTCCTTCTTTGGAACCCACCAATGGGTACGGGGAGGAAGCCACAAGAAGGCCTCATTTCTAAAGGCAGGGGGATCTTGCCTGTGTCCCAGACTGGTCCGGGGATCTGAGGCCCTTCCCGAGAAAATCTCGGTGCCGGCGTGAAGGGCCAGAGATCCCTTGGAGCCACGGGAGAGCAGGCACAGAGTCCCTTCTGCAGGGCCAATTTTGCTGCCTGAACTCAGCTCTTCAAAGAAACCTCTAAGACTCAGCTGGTGAGTTTTAGAAGCCAGGCATTCCTTGCTTACAACACCCTGCCATGATCCCAGCCCGACGGGTGTCCTGGCAATCAGCCTCCAAAGGGCACACACAGGTATCTCCACTGCAGGTGATGGGAGGGGTCAGCATTACAGGAGGATTCATTTTCCTTCCCTGCATTCCTGTTCCATACTCACGACATTCTCCAACACTTATCACCATACACACCTACCCTTAGAAGGTTTCCAAGGGGCTTCACCGAGGGCCTTCCCAGCTCTGCTCTGTCTGGAGCCCTCAAAGTCCTCAGGGCCTGCCTTAGGAACCTCAAGACAACTCACCTGCTTACACAGCAACTTGGTGCTGCTTGGCTGCTGCCTCACTTCCCTTCTTCCTTCTTTCTTCACCTCCCTTGCTTGGTCCCTTTCAATCCCTTGGCTCAGCTCTGTGCACTTTCCAGGCTACATCCCACTGCAAAAAGGATTAGCTCTTGTTACATCTCAACACTCAGGTATCATTCCCCCTTTTTCCTGACACTTGGCCACTAGGCCAGTGTCTCATTATTTAAAGCAGAGTTTGACTCCTCAGTGACAACAACAGCTACAGCCCTGAATCCTAACACAGGCTGAGACACAAACACGGGTGGGAACTCTGAAGGATCCACTTTGTCCTGCTCACCAACCAAAAGGAGCTTTCTGAACTCAAGAATAATAGACCCCAGGTCCTTTTTCTGCAACTTCAGCTGCCATAAATGTGACCCACAAGACCTGCAAAGGCCCTTCCCACTTCACCTGCAGGGCTGGCACTGCCACCACTGGACACGGACCCAGGGGCTGGGCAGGAACGGAGGGGCTGGGGCGTCCAATCCATCGGCCCAGGCGGCACCAGGAGTTCCTGCAGTTCCTGAGGGGAGAGCCTCAAGACAACAAAGGATTAGGAAGACCATTTTAAACTTTAATAGGCATATCTCCTGGAATACGGGGACTTGGACAAGGCCTACTGGTGCAACAAGGACACACTCAAGGCTATCTATTCAAAGGATCTACCAGCACTCAAAAGCTGTCACTGTCCTTCTTACAGGGGGAACTCAGGAAACTCTGTTTGCCAAGAGCCTCCAGGAGGATTTCCAGCTTTTGGGGCTCCCTTTTAACTATTTTTCCCCATCCCTGTAGCTGGGACTATCACCTGCCCTGCAGGGGGAACAGCCCACAAAGTTCACTTGCAGGGATGCCATTAACTCAAAGTCCCTTCTCAGGGGGGTCACTGCACACCTTGGCCTTTGTTTGCCCTCCCAAGCAAAGATGATTCCAACAGTTCTGACACATCTGGCAGACCCAGAGCTCTCCTCAGGGAATGCTTTAGCTGCTTGAAGGCTGCCCTTGCACCATCTAGCCAAGGCAGCAAATGCTTACAGGCTGTTCTGAAAAGTTGGCATAACAGTCTTACCACACATCCAGAGGGAGCAATCCAGAGTCCAGCCCGTCCTACCATTCCCAGCAAGGCAGTTCATGGGCTGGCTGGGGCTCAGGGAGGAGTCAGGGGGCTTCTTTTCTTCCTTCCTGCTTTCCAGATTTTCTCCTTCAAAAGCAACAGCCATCTTTTAAACCTAAGGTTGTCATTCAAGGTGCTTCTCTCAAGTCCTGCAGTCATCAATCATCTTGGCCATTGGTTCCTTGGCAGGTTCTTGCATTCACGTCCTACAAGCAAACCAGGATGAGCAAATTTAGCTGTTACTGCAACCAGTCCAAGCTGGAATTCTGATTTTAAAGGATACTGGCTTTGCCTTACCCATATAGATCCCACATTAGGGGTAATACCTACAGGTTCCGCCCTCTTCCACTCTCCTGCAGTTCCACTGGCCCACACCACAGGAACAACTGCAGCTGCCACTTCAGTCGGGACCTTGCTGCTGACAGGAGTTATTCCCTGCACAACAAGAGCTGCTGCTTGGACACATTGAGTTCCAGCAATTACTGTTTCAACATCCCCAGTTTTTAATTTCATTTCTGCCTCAACTTTTCCAATCAATCTTTTCCTAGCACAGGTTTGGGTGAGTGTGGCAAAGAGGGAAACTCAGGAATTCCCCAATGTTTTCCCAGTTTAACCCCTGTCACACCAGTCAGCTTAACACTGCCAGCCCTTAATTCTCCTTCTCTTGTGTTAAGGACTGAGGAAGTTGGACCTCGGTCTGAGCAGGACAGGTGCAAACCAAATGCTGGGGACTGGAACACACACCTGGCACTCCTGCAGCTCTTACCCTTATATTCAAGAGAAAACAGCCAATTGGACCATCACTGCTCATTTCTTAATCCCAATCCCACACTTCCTTTGCACTTGGAGCACCACTTTTAGAACCCAATTCCAGTCCATTAGAGAGCTCCATGTCTAGCAGGGACAGGGACCCCTGGGATACTCTCAGCAATGCCTGAATCCATGGCAGGGACCGTGCTTTGAGCTCCCCAGGGCCGGGCACCCCGAGG